TCCACGGTGCAACACGGTTGAAGTCTGGGGGACGAATGTAGTCGGGGGCGAGATAAGAAAGAGCATTGATGACTTTGTGACAATGACGACTGATTGTCTCTCCTGATTTTCTGAATGTTTCAGCCGCAAATCGTTGCCTTTGATGCCCTTTTATTGTATGCAGAAAAATGGCTACGCTTTCTTCAATGCCTATTTTTGTTTGTCTTCTTTTGGGGTGGAATCCAGCCCTTTTGATTTCGTCACAAAGGATGGTGAAATGACATTGATTTATGCCCATTGCATCTTTAAATCCACGTGGATTTCCAGCTAACAATTCATTTACCCAGTCCAAACCCGAGTACGTGGATTCTTGGTAGGGGATTCTTCTTAATGGTGGAAATGCGGACGAAGAACTGTCGTATATGTTTACAAGTTGTTGAAATTGTGCCCCCATCATTAACGAAGCTTCAAACGGGTCATACTCTTCCACGGTCTCGAACTCGTTGTCGACATCCTCAGGCAAATCATCGATGTCCTCTTCATATGTGTCGCTATCATCTATGTAAGACATCCTACAAATAAATATATTAATGGCGAAAAACACATTTACAAATGTTAACAAANAAATTGTCACATAGTCATGCAGTAATAAAAAATCTCAATCAGAGTAGTTTGGAAACAATGTTCAAACATAGTAGAGTTGAAGACAAATAAACAGAGAAGTCCAACAACAATTGAAGACGATAGAAGAAACCAATCCACATCCACATTCACTGTGGACCGAGGCCCTCATTAATCCACATATTAATAATATGTTGACGCCTCTCATCACTATAATCGCGGCAAACATGGCTCGATTCGTGGGATCCCGAAGCTTAGTGCAAACAAACTGGAAAAGATCTTTGTCCATATTCGGCATTGCTTGAAGGTCGCGCATTGCCTGTTCCATCATCGTTAGCTTCGCGGGTTTGTTGTTTCTTTCTTTCAGCGACACATTCAAGTCAGACCACGAGTACATGGCGGTGTCGAAACTGGACTCTGTGCTTCTCCTTCGACGAACGGACCGATTCTGCCCACCATGCCGTCAATGAGATGTCGGGGTCTCCATTGGATCCTCCTCTTGCTGCGTACAAACATCGGGGCTGAAATTTCCAGATGGCTCACCACGTCCCTCGGGCACACGTTGAGTCGATGCCTTTGCTTTCGAGCCTGTAGCAGTCGTCCCATGGAAAATAGTCGTCAACGCTTCGTAGTGCACGCATACCTTACCCTCCATGTCATGATAACTCGGATTTGCCTGTGGACGTCATGAAAGAATGAGAAATGGAGTGTACAGGCCACCCAAGCAGTACAGGACATATAAAATGACAGTCATTACTACAACAGAATCCACACTACAATCTGATATGAAATATTTTATATTTATATATAAAAAATAAAACAAAATAAAAAAGAAGAGGTGTATAGGCCACAGTAGTATCTCAAAGACAATTGAAACAAAGAACACTTTCTGAGACAAGAAGGCAATAACAACAGGTGTAATTGCCACACATACTTACAACACCATTGAAGCAACCAACAAATAACAATTGTCAGACAAATTAAAATTGAACATAGGAAACAATTGTAACAAAACATAATAAAAAATACTTACGGTAGTCCATTTTGTAAAACAATCAGCGTCTCCCGTAATCATCTTTTTCTGTGGATCCCAACTCAATCCGGTGGCATTGGTTACCATGTTGTGAAACTTTCTCCAATACACCTTCATTCGTTGGTACTTACTTTGCAGTTGTGTCACTTTGTAAGGATAGAAAATGGGACACTGCTCCTTCAACTTTGCAAGAATGGTCGTCCATTGATTCGGTGTGAACTTACCAGTTACACGGTTTCCCATCAGAACTTCGTCCAACAGAACACTCACAAAAGCGGCTTCATTTTCGGGAGGCCATTTGGCGTCTTCTTGAGTGCTCTCAGACGAAGGACCAATACCACCCGAAAATGACATCTACAATATGGGAATTAACAAACAAAGTAGGAAATTGTATGCTATGCTTTAACATGTACAAATAACTTGTACTAATGGATAGTCGGGCAATCATAACTGTATTCCGGACAAAGAAAAAGAAAGGTACCATAAGAACAACTGCCACACTCGGAATTGGAGATTCACAGAATTACACAACATATTCCTCAACAATGAAGACAACAACAAACAATTGGGTACCATCTTTTTGACCCTAGGTCATACCCTATTTTTTTTTTTCACACTAAAACGAGGGCAGAAATAACCATCAACGAAGATTGTTGGGTGCCGTCTTTATTTACATAGCCCCAAATTTTGTATCGAAGGGTTGTAAGATCAAACATCACATAAACTTCAACAATGTTTGTATAACGAAATTAAAACAATCTCCTAACTACAAAAAAGCCCTGTTTCCTTTTTGTCCCAATTTTTTCCATACAAACCAAAATAATTCCAAGCATGCGCCTTGAACTTGAACGATATTGTTCCATAATACAAATCAATGGATGGTAAGGAGGATATGATCTACCTTTGTTGGCCAGAGTCTCTTCTTTTTTGGAGATGTGACGGAGACGCTACCGGTGTTTTCGGTAGTGTCTTTAGCGGGGATATCGGGTCTTCGTTCAGCGTCCGCTTCACGTGAGGTCGCAGGATGATTTCGTGGAGGGGAGAGATCCATAGACGCTGAGGCGATTGAAGCCCAATTTATGGAGGAGAATCTTTTGTTGATATGGTCCAGCTAACTTCGATTTGAAATCTGCAAGAAAAAAGTCAAAAAGATGGAGCATTGCAATGAATGTTGCAGGAGGTGTTGGTGTATTGGGAGTGGGAAAAGCATATAATTCTGACGGATACAAGCTGTTGTTTGGTTTTTGTGGGCCACGAAAAAAACCCATCTTTGTGATATCCAATCACGGGTTCAACAGTGAAAACCAGCCCAAAGTGAGTAAAAATTAAGCCCAGTTCATATCCAATCGCGCCCTAAGTTTATATGTGGTTTTCTGGGATTCTTTGTAATTTTAGAGCTTCTTGATAAAGGAATGTTAATCCACAAAAATACTTTAGTATTAATATGATGGGCTTTTGGACATTTACACCTTATCCTCCAAGTATCTAGGTAAAATGAAATTCTTCTCATCTGGCAGCACACATATTCTAATGAGCACTAACCAGTACGAAGTTCAAACTTTGTAGCAGATATTACAATACAAAGGCCACGCAGCGGGATAGATTGGCGTTGGAGAGGCGAAGTTCATCTTTCACGTGATAGCGACAGCGTGACTGCAACAAAGCGGATTTCGCAGGGGTAGTGAGGGGCTGGTGTGAGCTATGTTATATGTTTCTTTCCCGTTTGTTTTGGGATGCATAGCGATGAAATTTGTTTCTTGGTGGCTTTCTTCTTTTGTTAAATAAGATTTGTTTTGTATTAATAGTACAAGCAAATTTGATATTTGTAGGTGGAATTGACCAGAAGCAGATATTCATGGGTTCACCTGAGAAGAGAACTCAGGAAATGGTACATAAAAAAATTCTTAAATACAAAGTTTGGCTTTCGTCCCATATATTTTAGAAGCAGTTACCAGACCATTCTAACAAGATCTTGAGTTGTTTACCGTTTCCAGTGTACATCAATCCAATATCCCGGCCTTTTGAATCTCGTTGTGAATTTGTCAAAAGAGTTTCGAATGCGTGACCTGCGACCATATATTATATTTCATATGGTGGTCCAGAGGAACTATTGCATGCTGATTATTTTTCAAATCTGTGTTATGAATCACATGATTCGGTATGTCTTGTTTAAACACGTGCTAAACCATATTTCTGTAACATATTACAGAGGATTTTATTCTTTAGTCTTTAACGTGGACTATCCGTTAGGAATTAGTGTAATGGGTTTCCCTTTCGCAAGTTAAAATTCTCGCTTATGCTTCCGATACTACAATCTTACTGGAGCAAATTAACAATACCGAGAATCTTATGAAAAAGTACAAGAATCGGGACCACCATCATTGACAGTTATTGAGAAATTGTGCTGATCAGAAAGGCAAATCACCTTTGCATGGTGAGGATGATCTATATATTTTATTTTATGTTACCTTATCAAACAACTTATCTATCTATGTGAAAGTTGAATGAATATGTGTAATCATATGTGAAGTTGAATGAAATTGTTAATTCAATAGGTGCTAAAGTGCGCAATTAGAATTAAGTTTCCCGCAAGCCGTACTGTATTGAGCTAATATATGAGTCAGGGTTTTAACAATTGTCCGTTGAAAAGAAATAGGAAGCTTCATTAGACAGCTTTTGTTATATGCAAATCAGTATTTTCTGTTTAACAATTTGGATTTCATTGAAGTGGTTAAAAAGATAGACTTCCTTTGGTGGTTGAACGCAAACAAGAGAGAAGAATATACGCCTTTACTATTGATGTTTGCTTATATAAGTGTAATGATGTGTTTTTTTACATGTTTGTCTTATTGGTTGCATGTTGGCTTGAATCTTTACTGCTGGCAGGAGATATTTTCAAGAAACTTCAAATATGGAAGCTCATAGTTTCAGTTTTTGGTTTTTCGTCTACACCATAATTGGTTTTTGGTGTTTACCTTCTTCTACTACTTTTGTGTGTTTTAGCGCAAAATAAATTATAATAAACACAATATAAGTTCTTGTTCTAGCCTAGTTTCCTTAATGACATTTCTCATATGAAGTTCATATGCCAGATTATGTGCTATTGTTGGAGAAAGTAACGTGTATTTCTAGAACTGAAGTGTCGGATATGGACAGATGGTGTAATATGTAGTGTGTTTCTAAACTTTAGTTTCAATTACGTTTTTTAAGTCATAACCAATTAAAGCTAGATAATGGCGTACTTAGATAGTTTATTTGTTCATTTCAAATGATGTTAATGATTTTATTCCTCCCGAAGATTAGCAATGCTTTGTGACTTACTTGGAATCAATCGTCAATGAATGAGAAATCTGATGAATGAACTATCAACAAATTCTAAATTCCTATCTACATCATTTTTTTTTTTTGTGTGTGTTTGCCAAGCGTCCCAGACAGGTCCAAATGTTTCACCATTTATTCTTGTTTTGTTATTTTCCTCTTTGATGTCTATTCTTGAGTTTGATATTAGTTCCAGTACTGGTTAATGATTACTCTCTCTTTTCAATATATTTTTAGACTAAAATTGAGAATTACTTTGGTTAGGAAAAGGAACACAATATATGCGAACAAATGCAACATACGCTAGAATAAAAGCTGCAACAAATTATGACA